GTCACAATATCGATGTGTGGAGCTATTTTATTAAACGGACGCTGGTGGATGACCCCTTTTGTGTTCGCAATTGTTTCTAAGCCTGATTATTCATTACGAGTTTATTAGTATTGACGGCTTTTCTGAATAATGTATTTGTTTTACTAAACAGCAACTGATATTTTTGGTTACGTTTTTGGGCACTTTTATCATTTACAGCAGGGCTCTTTGGATTGTGTAGTTTAATCAATGCACATATCTAAAATTGCACCACTACGGCTTGGGTGATTGTGATAAGTCTAATGGTTTGGAGTATGTTGTTCATTTTACGTTTAGAAATAACAGGCTATATGACAATGAGGAAATTTTACATTCGACAGTTCAGGGTTGTACTTCAAATTTTATCGGTGATCTAAAAAAATTACCTCCAAATAAATAAATCGGTTTCCATAACCCATTTTAAAGAAGATTGTTTTGACTTTTACCACGCACCTGGGAGCGGTTTCGCGTTAGCCCACTCGCGCATTTGGAAACATCGAGATTTCCCCTCTCTCTTAACTTTCGATATGGGATGTGGCAAAACTAAAGCATAATTAGCAGACAGAAGTACGCTTACACTAAAATATGATCTATAGCAATGCAGCATTTGTAGTCTTTTTAAGTCGTGATGAGCCAGGAGGATATAGCTGTAGCCAAGTTGCCACGCCACTGAGCAAAAGTACATTCTATGGAGGCTAGGGACCACAAGTAATTAAATGTACAGTTTAATAAAACGTCAAATCGCCGCAGATTTATATATACGTTCGTGCTGCCCAAGCAAAAACAAAATTCTGGTACATATTTTTAAAGCAGACCGAAGATATTTAACAGCTTTATGCCACTTTTTTTAGTAATGTAGCTTATACTCACAATTATCCTTTCCACAAATAAGAACTTGTTATTCAGTGTGTTTTAAGCTAAAGGTATTGGATAATTCGTGACAGATGTGTTCAAAGCTAAAAGTCGGCTAATGAAACGCAAAGGATTTTTTCATAATAATTTGGCTCAGTTATAGGCCTTTCTTTTAAGTACGTGGATACACTGCATAAAGGCAAATTTGAAAACGTTTGTTTATTTGAAGCATTTTAGAGTGCGCTGTTCGTTTTCGCTTGACTGTAAGTTCTGGCGCGGTTGATCACTGCGGGAGTTGGGAATAGGGCAATTTGTTTTTAAGATGTGGTTTTCCCTTAGCACTTTTTATTGGCTTTGATTTGTTTGTCTTTTTCTGTGCAGTCTTTCGTGTTTGAGTCAAATGGTGTTTCATTACAGATAACTAGGTTTGTAGTTACTTCAGTCGTCGCTTTGGCATATTGCATTCTAAACGGTTATTATCTTGGGGCACACCATAATGTGGTTTTATTAGGCTAAGTTATTTTCTTTCATACCTTATGGGAACCTTCTTACATTAAGGACACTGGATGCGTCGTTGAGTAATCCGATGTCAGACGTATTTATAAGCGTACACTGCCGTCCTTTTGGTGGTTCACTCCATTTTTTTCTAATTTAAGTTTCAATGGTTGCGTACAAGCAAGAAATGCCTCCACCTGGGGGGTTCGCCGCTTTCAACGTTTTCAACAAAGGGGTCAGAAAACATCTTAATGGTATGTACTATATTGGTATAACGACTTCGGCTAAGCGAATTTGGTTTCCGAGTAAAGTATTTTGATATGCAGGGTTATACGTAATTGGAGCCTTGTACGCCTGTTCTTTCGTTGGTATTAAACTGCGGCTCTGGGGAAAGGAGCGTAAAGAGGCCCGTGATAACGAGAATCGGGAGGTGCGCTTGGCGCTAACGCCGTTCCTGGTTGCCGAGCAGCAGCGCATGTTCCTCAGACAACTCGTGAAAAACCGTGACTACGAAACGGAGCTCATGAAGGATGTACCCGGCTGGGAGGTCGGTCATTGGCACGATACTCCCGTCTATCACAACCCCCGTGACCTCTGGTGTGAGCCCAATCTCTATGAATACTATGCTCATTTGTCGAGAAGGGATGCCAATCGCCAGCTTAAAGTACATTTCGAGTACTGAACTTGGGCTGCTGACTCGATAAAAAGACTGTTTTAAGTTGCCATGGTTTAGCATCACTCGGCGAGACCGAATTAATAGAAGCAGTTAGTATTGGCTCTTGTACGTTACTTTGAAGTGGATTTTTGTTCTCCAATGTTTACCTGAATATATGGATTTGTTAATTTGTGCGTGATTCAGAATATTTCATCTGCCGAATGGCGATGCAGTGTCTTTAGTAATGACTGCTAACTGGTTTTGTAGCTCGCCTGTTACTTGGGTGCCTTTTGGGCAAATGCACTATCGCTAGCTCTACAGCTGCAGCAATATTTATTTTTGGTGAATCAGATTACTGGAGTGAAGGGGAGTGTGAGAGCGTATTTATGAATTGCTTTTGGAATAAGGAGCCCTGATTGCCCTACCTCTTGTAACTAATTTGATGCCTAATTTATTGCAGATTGTGAAGCACTTACTCTTGCTATGTTTGTTCCATTACACGACGTTTAGGTATGTACATAATTGCCGTGATTGTAGATTAAAGTATCTAATTATGGGTGCTTTTGTACTTGGTCTGATAGAAACCGGCGTATACTTAAGTTGAACTGCTCATTCAAATAGAAAAATGGCCTTTTAAATTACACAATTTTCCACATGAGACATTATGCCTGTATTAGTGGGCACTTACACCTCGAACAATTTTAAAACCAGTGAACGCAGGTTGAAACGCGTCAATGTCCTGATTTTTGGAGTCAAAATGAATGTCTAGGACTTTTAGGTGAACAAATGCACAGTTTTTCACCGAGTTCAAACGCAAAAACATTAATTTTTTTGTTGTACCTCAAGTGGTGCTTTGTTCAATGCTTCAGTTAAAACTAATGCGTTGGCTCGACTTTGGTTGCTGCCATTTAGGCAAATGAGAATGTCATAAATACCCAAAGGGCAATTTTTAGTCAAATTTAAAAACAGATAGCAGTGGATGCGAATGTAATATAAGTTAGCAGCAAAAATTTGTTGATTGAGAGCTTTGATTATCGGCCTGTGAGCAGTCAATTAGGCTGGACTATCATAGGAGCGCATTTCTTCTCTAGGAAACTTAATCCCTATTCCTTCGTACAAAAGATACACCTTGTTTAGCATTTAAAAAGCAAGGATCTTGCTTGAGAGGTGACTAATTTCGGGGTCAATACAATTAAAACAATTGCAGTACACGCTTCAAGAGTCGAAGAGGCAAAGCGTAAATGCTCGTGAATCACTTTATTTAATCGGGCCTTCACGTTCATAAACGTTAGCAAATATCTCTGATAACATTCGGCTCCCAAAATAAATCCTACACTCTACTCATTGCATCAATTAAGTACGAATTCACCTAATTTGAATTCATCAGTCCAATTCGCAGTTTTAAAATTCGGTCGGGAACTCCGACATAATAGTAGAGAGCGAATACGTAGTTGCTTGTGATCTAGTCGAGGTGGTAAGCTCTTGTGATGCCCATTGACACGACTGTCTGGCCGATTGG